CTCAGTTTTCTTGACTCCTAAGGCCATGCTGTTTTTAAGATTCCACTCTCCTGATTTCTCTTTGACATTACCAATTAATCACCGTAAGGACTTAAGGGACAAGCATATATTTTGTTAAAATTACTAAGTCACTGCAGGCACTGAGGTCAAAAGGTCTAACTGATTAGGTCTTTATTTGGAGAAAATGGGGTAAGAGCATAGAAAGAAAGATCAATAATGTGATGTTAATTCATGCAACACATATATAACAAATACCTACCATGTGTTAACAATATTCTGTGAGATGGAGATACAACAGTGAACATATGGATGTACATTTGAGAGGGAGAAGACACAAAACGTATCGTACATAATAAATACGTAAATCATATAGTATTTTGAAACATTTCTTTCCATTACAGAGGATAGGAAACGGAGACTCTCTGGTTTAATACTCCATGTATGGCAACTTCAACTGCTAATGCTAGTCTTTTGCACTGTAATTCCTTTCAGTGGACTGGACAGGAAAATTTATTCTCCACGTCTGGGTTTATCCATAGCCCTCCACTATGCTTCTGTTCTGTATGCTGTTGATAAAGGCATCAACTTTTAGCATATTCTTAGCTCAGACTATATGAATCTGAAGTAGTATCTTGTGGTACTTTTTCTTTTGAATGAATACATGATGTTAATGATGTGGCAATAATAAACATAAATAAGAGGAAAGACAGAAATGGTGTCTGTACTTTGGATTCTCCAACTTGTTTATTTCTTTAGTCATGTCACCTATTTTAATCCACCTTGGGCTGCGAAGAGCACTCACATCACTGCAAGTACAGGCTCACTCAGAGAAACAAGTAGGAGCTTCAGAGATTATTCTTCATTTCAGTTACTGTTTCCAGTAAAAACAAAATGTAGTCACTAGGCTACATCAACTAGAAGCAATTGCTATACATGGAAAAGATTATCTAACCTAAAAAACCCAAAGAAAAAATGAAGGGCAAGGTCAGTACCATCAGATAAATCCAAATTACTCTAGGTTCAGCTTCTCTTAGGGTTTTAAGGGAGTGTGGAGATCCATGAGAGGAACAGATGTGAAGCAGCTCTAACTGTAGTAAGGAGGCCTCGGAATGGCCAAAGTCAGGTTTCACAGGTTGCCAAGCCTTAAGGTTTAACATTTCAGTTCAGGAACACAGTATGCTCAGGGGCCTCCAGCCTCTGCTCCCCCACCAGCATAATAAGAAGAAAAAAAATGTGCCCTCGGCTTTAAGGGCTGTTATAACAAGGATTACTCAGGAAGGGGAGGTTCTAGGCAAGCTGGGAGAGAATGGAGTGCAGCTGCCTGAGAGAAAAAAGGAGGAATGAAGACTGGGTGCTTCCAGATTTATGCCTTTTCAAAGGTCTTTTTTTTTTTTT